AGTCATTAATGGCAAAACTACACTAGTTATCATTAGAGCCACGGAGATGTTATATGACATAACTTATTTCACAAATATTTAAAACATTAACATTAAATAAATGAATGATTGAAATTCAATTCACTCAAGATTCAACTCGATATTATATCTTCATACTATTTTATCATATCCTAGATTCTATTGATTTGTAAAGTATCACTCATAATCTACAGTAAATCCTTAAATTCCACAGTGAGTTACACATATACTGAATTAAAATGAATAAGTGCCAAAGATATCAGCATACTTCCCTATCCAAGAACAGGCTGTATAAGCAAGCTCTGGTTAATCCTCCTGGTATTTTTTGTATGTTTAATTTTCATTTTTGTTGAGAACTTCATACATGAATACTACATCTGCCTCACTTCCCCAGCTCAAGCCTACGATGTTCCCCCTCCCTCCCAATTCATGACCTCTTCTTCTTTAATTATTACTGTTACATGCATATGTATACATGCACACATGTATACAGAACCTACTTAATCCATTTAGCATTGCTGGTAATGTATCCAGAGCTGATCACTTGGGGCTAGACAACCTATGTGGGAGCCACCCTAGAGAAAATCAATTAGCCCTTTATCAGCAGCCATTAGTCACCTGTAACTCTTCATCTAGGGGTGGGACCTTATTGCCCAGCTTGTCATGTCAACTGAAGCTGTCATTATGTTGGTCTTGTTCAACCGTATGGTTAGGATTTCATGGGTGCAATTTCCCTGTCATATCTTAGAGACACTATCCAGCAGCAGATATCCAGGGCCTCCAGCTCTTACTTCTGTAATTTTCTCCTACATTTAAGGCTCAGGGCAAATATATAGTACCGTTAGTAGTACAAATAGCAGTCAAAAAGTCATATAAGTGAACATCAAAAGGGACAAGGTTCTACAGTCTTCCAGAAGCTACCATACCAAAAGACAGAAAGAACAGGAAATGTGGAACATTTCTTTTTCCAAACACATGCTCCTAACTAGGACATCCAAGTTGTATATTGTACTTATGGCATTAAACAAAAGAGAAGCCTTCACAATAAACAATCAGTACTTTAGAAAGACACTTCAGTAAACCTCTTGAACACACTCTTTCCACTATCTTGCATCACTTTTCACTTGGCAGGTGTGCCCTTGGAAGCAGAACAGTTAGATTCAATTATGTGTTTAAAAATAAAATCATATAAAGAGAAGTGTATGTCAAATATTTTTAGTAAGTTTACTAAGATAAAACCAACAGCAAGAGCAAAAGTTAAACCAAATGTTAAACTTTTTGAAACTAGAATAGCAAGTGCTGTCACTGGGTTTTTTTTTTCCTGAGACTTTTTTTTAATCAAGGAATTTTTTGTTCATTTTACATACATACTAACTGTATTTTCACACAATGGCATCATCATTAAACTGCTCAACTCCATGTGGCCGACCTAGTTGGGATATCAGTGCAGGAAGGGGATGTGCTAAGATTAGCTAAGATTCCAGAAAGGGAAATCAGAGAAAAGGTAGGCAGGAATAATGAGTTTCAGGACAACCAGGTGAATTATTCCTATATGAGAATTCAGTAAAGGGTATAAATAGCCACCTGTTTGTTTGGAGACAGGATATCACATTGTAGCCCAGGCTTTCTTGAAATTCACTATGTAGCCCCATGCTAGGCTCAAACAAACTCATGGCAACCCTTCTGCCTCATTCTTCTGAATGCTACTTTGAAGCGGGTGCTAACTCTTCTACATCCAACATCATATTTGGTCATTACTCAAACTTGGTGATGAAGACTTCCATTCCCTCAGAAAAGAGGACAGAGCTAGGATGGCACTCTCAAGCCTCTCCTCTGAATGCTGTACTAGAGAAACACCCACAAATAGCCCTGAGGAAGAAGCAACCCACACTTGTGGGTTCAGAGACAGAAAAGAACTAAGATCCACAGGAAATCCAAGATTTGCAGAAGGGAGAGAAGGAAAGATGTGTGTGTATGCAGAAGTCAGGAAAAACACCTGGAATAAAAATGCAGTGGACACAGTGCAGCAGGTGCATCCTCCTGTGGCCTCGCTGGGGTCTCTCTGTCCTCAGCATCTCTAGGCATCTGCTCTTGGTCCTCTACTGTCATGATGCTCTGAATGACAAACACTAGCTCAGATCTCTATCTCTATTTTATCACACATTGGGCTCTTTTCTTACTTTGGATGAAATAATCCAGAATGCTTTTGGTTTAGAGAGGTATTATGTGACCGGAAGCGATGATAGGCATGTCTGCTGAGTCCAAGAGACTCGGCTTATACAAGACCAGCAGCACTTGCCAGTCGCACAACTTAACCCTGAGCTGATGATATAAGCACCCCAAGGGGTAACACAGCTGTTAAAAGGGAAATTGCTATATCTGTGTTGGTAAACAGTCCCCATCCAAGAGGGCTTCCTAACCTAGACCTCCCTAAGGTCCTCTATGATATGCCCCATGCACTATCCCATGCACATTCTATAGGACAGTGGTTCTCGACCTTCCTAATGCTGTGACCTTTTACGTTGTAAGTAGCCCTCAACCATAAAAATTATTGCTACTTCATAACTGTAATGTTGCTACTGTTATGAATCATAATGTAAACAGTTTTCCTATGGTCTTAGGTAACCCCTGTGAAAGGGTTATTCAACTCCCCCAAGTGCTTGTAACTCACAGGTTGAGAACCACCGCTATAGGAGCTTCCTACCATGCTCTCAATCCTAGTTATGTTCAATCCTAGGCAACCATGTGGGGCTTTGTAAGATGCTGATCCAACTCCTCACACAAATGTCTACATTCTCTGGGGTAGAAATGTTCTGGTTAGAGAAAAGGTCAAAATTAAATTCAACTAAGTAAAAGAACTGCAGAAAGGGATCCAGAATTCTAACAATAAAATGTGAAAAGCACAAATCCCTAAATAGTATTTTTAATTGTTTCCTCTGGGCATGGGATATTCAGAGCTTGCCTAGTTCAACCTCATGGATACAGATTTTTCCAAAGTTAAGTTTAGAAAAAGCATGGGGGCCTAACCTTGTTGGAGGAAGGAATGGGGGCAGTGGGTTGGCAGGGGCTAGGGGGCAGGAGGATGGAAGAGAGGGAGATCTGTGGTTGGTATGTAAAATGAGTAAAAAAATTCTTAATAAAAAAAGAAAAAGAAAGAAAAGGAAAAAGCAGCTTTGCAATATAAAATTTTGGACATTGTTCTGCAAGCAAAAGCAATGGCTGTTTGGTTGTTGTTGGTTTTGTTTTGTTTTAAGACAAATTCAAATTTAAAAACTGGTATGCCTCTGATATTAAAAGCCACAAGAGGTGAAATTCCAGATAGAAACCACTGTTTGAACAGAGAAACTTCATTTTTTTTCATAATTTAACTCCACTCCAAGAGAATGGCAGACCTTGCTGAAAGAAAGATAAATAAATAAATAAATAAATAAATAAATAAATAAATAAATAAATAAAACTTCACACCTGTTGATATGGGAAATTTGTAATTGGTAGTCATCAAAAGTGATTTTAAAATAATATAAAACATGTGACATGTTTGGAGGTTGGTAAAACAGCTTTCCTTGGAGCGGTGAGTAAAATCATTATTCTCTTCCACATTTAGTCATTATGTTAAAACTTTTTTTCTTCAACATACTTATTTCCTCTGGATGTACATATTGTAGTGGAATTGTTGGATCATGTGATAATTCTATTTCTAATTTTTGAAGCACCTTCAAACTATCTCCCACAATCATCATGGCAACTTTTATTCCTATCAACAAGGTGAAAACAGATCTGCTCACAGCATGTCTTGATTTTTAAAACAATTAAATTTTTTATTGAAAAGCAAAATTCTGGGAGATGTACACATGACAATCAGGCTAACACTCATGCTCTGACATGTGCCCAAAAAGAAAACTAAGAAACGGAATCATTCTTGATAGACGTTAGTTGTGTTTTCCACCTTATTCCCAAAGAATTTCAGACAAACAGGATTTTCAGGAGAATTACAAGAACCATAAATGGTTTATCCATATTGGTCACACATACATCCTGTATGTAAAAATTTAATTTATAATTAATGAAAAAAACTAATTAATGTTCTAAGATGTGTTTAAAACCTTAGGGCTAAAAAGGTTAATGTTAGAGCATAGTTGATTAGTCATCATATGAAACTTTGTGACAATATTTTTTAATCTCTTTATTTATCCAAACTGAAAGAGTTTTGGAAATAACAACAAATGGTCAATAACGGCAAGGAAAGTCCCAGATGAATTCCTGGAAGCAAATAGTTTATTAGACTATGAAGCACTAGGGTAACTGGTGGGGTGTGGGGTGGCCATTCCTCCTACTGATTATGTACAAACTTTAATGAACTGATTAAGAGCATGTACTATCACCCCCTCCCCCTGCAAAAACAAACAAATAAACAAAAAAACAGCAATCCTGTGTCTCCTGGAAAAATAATTAAAATAACCCAATAGGCTTTCAAAGAAAAATGTCATCATGAGGATACAGAAGAGGAATTTTAATTTTCAGAAGATGGTTTGCTGTTTGCAAAATTACAATTTGCTGAAGCTGTACTGCTGTAATTTTGTTATTTAAAATACAGAATGGTGCCATGAAATTGTATCCGTTACAAAGATGCTTAGGACATGTCACTTGGAGAAGGACATTTGAAAATGAGACAGAGGTCAATGACAAACAGCCAGGCATAAAGCTAGCAGTCAGACGGTGACACGGGAACATGTAAGGAGACACACAAACACCCACAAAACACACACATGAGCATGAAGCGAATGGAGGTTGAATTATTTTTATAGATGTCTTTAAGACATTCTAGGCCTGATAGATAAAGTAGGAAATCAAACATAAGGAAGCAACATATAGAAGCCACTGACTGAGCAAAAAATATTTCACAATACCCAGGCAGGCAAACATTCACATACATACAACTAAGTTCAGTAAAAGACCACACATCTATACAAGTGAGTACTTACCCCTTCTGACTTCTCCATCGTGTTGGCCAGCATCTCCTGCAGAGCACGTACCGACAGGGACTGCTCCAGCACAAAGGTACAGATGGACAGGTCCGGGGGGACATTCTATGTGGAGAGAGAAGGAACCATCAGGGTAACATCCTCCTCAAGCATGCAGTCAGTTGAACTTGTAAAGCTCCATTTCCCTTCCCACCTGTGACCTCTCACCCTCATCTTCGCATGTAGGATGCATTGTGTTTACATTACATGGTTAACACTTTCTTATGAGTCTGTGAATGCATGCATGTATATGCTTGCATGTGTGCTAGTGTAGGAGTAGGTACGTGCACATGTGTATGGAGGCCATAGGTCAACAAAGTATCATTCCTCAGATGCTATCTACTTTTTAAAAATATAGAAACATAGTGCAGCAGCTGATTTAGGGTAGCCACTCAAACACTTGCCCAGTCCCAAACTCCACATACCCCTTGAACTTCTATGTTGTTCAAGTGGTCTTTAAGAGGCCATGGAGCTTCACTCAGGGTTTCACACTTTCGCTATCAATTTTTTATTTTGTATATTTTTAAATGTTTCCTGATATTTTAATGTTTTAATAAATTTAATTCAATTTAAAAGTTGAATTCACTTATCCACCATAAAAAAAATCTATGATGAAGTTAACAGTAATAACAAAAAAATCAGCTTTCAACTCTTTCAAGTATTATTTTTACTTTACGTTTTTATTTTATGTTTTGCCTGCACCTGTGTGTGTACATCATGTGTGTGCCCAGTATCCTCAGAGGTCAGAAAAGGACATGTAATACCCTGGAAGTGGAGTTAAGGATGGTTGTGAGCTGCCAGGTGCCAGGAACCAAGCCCAAGTCCTCTGCAAGAACAGCAAGTGCTCTTACCTGCTGAGCTATCTTTCCAGCGCCCCCTCCCACACATACACCCCTTTTCTTTATTGAGACAAGGTCTCTCTTTGACCTGCAGTTCTCCAAGTAGTCTAAGCTGGCTGAGTGTGAGCCTCACAGATCCTCCTGTCTCTGCCTCCCCAGCACTGAGATGACAAGTGTGTACCACCACATCTGGCTCATTTTCACATGGGCTCAAGGGGATAGAACTCAGGTCCTCTGCACAGCAAGCACTTCGGCAGATGAAAGGTACCTCCCCAGCCCCCACTTTAGGAGATGAGAACTACCCCCACCCCCACTTCAGCAGATGACAGCTATCCCCCCCACCCTCACTCTAGCAGATGATAGCTACACACCCCAACCCCCATCTAAGACACTTTGAACTGACTGAGAATAATATCTGTTCCTCGTGGAACATCTACTCAGACACATGACACTTGGAGCTTTGTCTGTACTGGCTATGTCCCATGGCCAGGATTCCTACAACAGTGATTTTGACAAGACAAAAGAGAAGTTAAGCTACTTTTCCAAAGAATTACAAAATGTTTAAAGCTGGTTTTAGAATCCAGGCTTCTCCAGATCTCAATGGTTCATTTCTAACCTAACAAGCAGCCTGATGATTACAGAAATATTACAAAGACAGAGAAATAACACTGGCTTCAGTTAATACTGGAGTTAAGCAAACAGAAAAATGAATTGATATAAAACATTCATTGACACAGGCTTTTTCTTTTGTATAAGATAAACATTTATATTCCTGTAGCTGGATTCATATTTTGCCTCCAACTTAGGACACAGAGATTTGGCTGCTGTCTGCATACAAGTGTGTGCTGCATTTTCTCATTTAATTTTCATTTACATGTATGTAACTTCATCTGTTTCCAGAAAGCTAAACAAATGTATACAGGGATGGAGAGGGTTTTAGCTCAGGCAGTGGTTTCCTCTCATTTTGGTTTTCTGTTAGGAATCCTGGGTTCCCGTCAAGAAGGCAAAGAAGTTAGTTTAACTTTTACACCTCCTTTCAGTGTGCTTCAGGCGACCTCTAGGGCAACATGGAAGCAATTCAAACAAAATGTGTTTTAAAAATGAATGTTGTTTTCGATCTTGATAGCTTGACAGCAAGGAAAAAAGAGACTCAGGATTCAGTTCTGATAGGTGATCAGCCAAAAGCCATATGGAAAAGTGCTTGGGCTTCCAATCTATGGGCTGAAGAACACTCCTACTCCAAAGAATCACTGAGACTCAAGTTTCTTTAAAAATCTGTCTTCTAAGCTGAAAAGAAATGCCAATAAAATATAATTTTATCTCTCCAGTTTAAGAAAAGCCCACATTCACATGAAAGCTCAGAAACTCAGAGGTGCAAATGAAGAGAGAAGCTGCGGGTTGGCCGAGACATAGGAAGGTACCCACAGCACACTTTCAGATGGAGCAGATGGCCTGTGGCTGAGGCAAGCTCATCAGGGCTTGGCCACCCATCTGCTGAGCAGCTTCTGGCAAAGTACCATGACCACTGATGGTCAGCTCCTCCTTGCATTAGCGGGATGTAAAGTAGCACAACAGAGTTGCTGCTGCCAATGTACTGACTGGACACACGCACCCTGCAAGATTTTACTCACCAGCTGGTGAAAACCATTGTCCTGAAGCTTATATGTTCCCTCAGTGACACTATAACCCTGGTCTCATGACCAATGACCTTTCCTACACACTGTGGGAGGGAAATATGAGCCAGAATACACAAAAATCCCAGCTCCTGTTTTCCTTTCTACATGGCTTCAAAACCTCACTCATACTACCCTACCACAGTGCCAGCCTGGAAAAACTATTTCAAGGTTTTCACTTTTCCGTGGATGTTCATCTTCCAGGTATTTTTTAAGTCTATTTTTTTAATTGTGTAGATAAGTGTATATGTTAGTGTGTGTGTGTGTGTGTGTGTGTGTGTGTGTGTGTGTGTGTGTGTGTGGACACATGGGGCCAGAGGCTGATATCCGTTGGATGTCTTTCTCCATCACTTTCCACATTATTTATTTTTCTTTTTGAGACAGTATCTCTCCCTAAACCTGGAACTCACAGATTAGTACTAGACTGCTGGCCAGCGAGCTCTGGTGATCCTCTCTCTGTCTCAGGCCCTCACACAGGGATTATACACACATGCCACAGCACCTGGGTTTTAGCATCTGAACTTGGGCCTTCACACTTGCATAGCGAATACTTTGCCCACTGAGCCACTTTGTCCCAGCCCCTCTTTGTCCTATTCTTTTTCCCTCCTTCCCTCTCTGCCCCAGAAGTTAATATGATCACCTTTGCAAAGCAAAGATTGTTCCTGTGTAAGACAAATTGCTAAACAATCCTATTAATAAAAAACCCGGAGCTAGATATTGGGATTAAAACCAAGAGATCAGAGGAATAGGACAAGTCACAGCTAACCTCACCTTACCAGCCCTCAGTCTCCAAAGAGACCTACTTCCTGTATGCCCATGCCTATATGCCTTTCTGTCCCTGCCATCTCACGTGCTCTCTCCGTCCAGCTACATCACTTCCTCTTTCTGCCCAGCTCTGTCACTTCCTGTCTGTCTGTACAGACTTCCAGACCTTTATGGTTAACTAGTGTTGGAATTTAAAGTGTGTGCCACCATGCCTGGCTCTGTTCCCAGTGTGGCCTTTAACTCACAGAGATCCTCATGGATCTCTGCCTCCCGAATGCTAGAATCAAAGGCATGTGCTACCATTGCCTAACTTCTATGTTTAATATAGTGGCTGGCTTTTTCCTCTGATCCTCAGATAAGCTTTATTAGAGTGCACAATATATTGGGAGACACAATATATCAACACATTCCTGTGTCAATGAATGTCATGTCACCTCTTTGAAAGACAAGGGTAAATGTCTGCTAATTAATGAAGCTGGTAAACCTGGGTATCCCCAGGCATTAAGATTGTTCAGAAAAGCTGGAGGCATTGATCTTGGCATTCTGGACCACAACAGGGTCCAGGTAGGAGAAAGGCATTAGCAGGTTTAAATGAGGGATGATTAGCAGGCCATTACTACCTCAAAGGCCACAGCTGTGCCGATTTAGTTCTTAATTATGAAAATCTCTAGTGAATTAGTGGAGGTTCAAAGGGTTTCCACTCTTCGAAATCCATCTTTTAGAACACAACACCCAAGGACTTCATGGTACTGAAAAACCATACTTGAATCCATAATTTATAATCCATAAAGCATCTTTCAAATCTAATAGTACATGAGTAGAGCAAGCTACTTTTTAAAACTACTTTTTAAAATACCAAAGACCAACTGTGCCCATGCAAAACTAGAAGTATGCTAGTGTTTGTCAACGACCTTCTCTCTTTAATATCAACACAGTGATACTGTATCATGTCAACTCTGTTCGCATGCATCTTGAGTGGGAGTCATTTCTGACTAGCATCCATGAAACTGTGAAGGGCAACACACACACATGAAACCAGAGAAGAGGCTTCTCCTACTACAAAGGAGTCTTAAGGTAATAAACAGGGGATGAGGATGTGGCTCAGTTGGGAAAGTCCTTGCCTAGCATGCACAAAGTCCTGGGTTCACTAGGTTCATTCGGGAGCAAAAACCAAGTGTGGTAGTGCAATCCTATAATCTCAGCACTGGGGTGGAGGAAGATGATTGGAAATTCAAGGTCATCCTCAGCTATTTAATGAGTTCAAGGTCATCCTGCACTACAAAAGACCCTATCCTATAAAACAAAAAAGTAATACATCAGGTCTCTAAAGTAGCATATGGGAATACCCAGGCATCCCTTGCTTCTAACATTGTCAAGGCCAATCCACTGCAAGCAGGTTGATTTCTACCCTATTAAATGTGAAGCAGTACTGATTTTTAGAAGGTTTTTTACTTATGTGTATATCTATGTGAACATATGTTATGTGTGTGCAGTTGCCCTTAGAAGCCAGAGGACAGCACCAGATACCCTGGAGCTGGAGTTATAGGCAGTTGTGGCCCAATCCACCTGCATGCTGGGAACCAAACTCATGTCCTACAAGAGTGGTGTGTACTATTAACCACCAAGCCACCTCTCCATCCCCACCCTGTTATTTATGATCTCAAATAGGAGGACTATATACCAACCATTCAGACTCTAGGTATGATCCACATACTTACTGCATTTAAAACTCATAATTTCCAGTAATTTACATGCATATTAGAATGAAGCTCTGAGAAGGGGCTCAAGA